TACAACTCTGAATTAAAATTTCACCCACAATCCCACCACATCCCCAAATCAAGCTGTTTTTAATGATCTCTGTTCCTCCTGCTTTTTGTCCAAAGGAGTACTGACTGTGATTTTCTTCACTGTTATACAGATGTGTTTCCACATTGCCATGGAGGCTTTGTATTTACTAACCAAGTGTAGGTATTTGGGCTTTCCTGTACCATTGGGTACTTAGGTTTCCATATTTTTGCCTTTATGTAGTTGTCGTTGACCTTTTCTTTTTTCTTTTCTTTTTTTTTTGCAAATAACTTTACAAGACTTTTGGGTTTCTTCCTCAGTCTAATTCTTGAAGTAGGATTGCCAGGTCAAAGATGGAATATGTTCATGGTTCTTAAGGTATTGTCATATTTGTGATTCATGTGGTTCTAGAAATTCTATCATCAACAAAGTGGGGTTAAGTTTTCTTCACTGGAGTTCTCCGTGGATGGAGTCCTTTCTGTTACAACAAATAATTCTTGGAGTCCCTCGCAGGAACCGTCTTATGGCTGACTGACCCTTGTTTCCTGCGTTGCTGTTCTCCTGTGTGATGTGGTCAGTGACAAAAGTCATGGGTATGACTTAACCTGGATGTGGTTCTTATGTTCATATGTCAAAGGTGGGTCATCAGTTGTTTCTGGTTTATTATGGGGATCAAATCTTATAACTTACAACATTTCTCTGTAAATGATACGAAAGTCAGCTACTTCTAATGCTGCGACTGATGGGTCCTCAGATCCCCCTGTACTTGTTCTGGATGGCCCTCCCTAGGATGGGAAGAGTGCCTGACCCTAAGCACCCACTAGCTGGCAAGGACTCTAAGCTATGCAGAGCCGTATGAGAGAGGAGACTGCAGGGTCGCGGGCAGGCATGCGTGTGAACAGAGGAAGGCCTGGGAGTGCTTCAGAGGAAGAATCTCAGGCCTTCAAGAAAGAGCTGTCCCATCCTTACTCGCCCTACCATCGTAGGTCCTGTTCTGGGGCCCAAACTCCTAGGTGTGACTCCTTTCCTGAAGGATGAATGGGACACTGGAGTGGGTGCTGCAGCTGGTGGAGCAGCTCCTTCTGGGGGTGGCGAGGCTGTGGGGTACACGTGTCCCCCATGGGAAAGTTGGCGTGCCCCTGTCAAAGCCCTGTGCCTTGTTGCCTTCCAGTTCACTCTGACTGATCGCTCTGTGCCACGTGAGTGGGTCAGTGGCTATTACCCGCAGTTCCCAGACTGCACACATACCCCCGAGGTAAAAATAAATGCTTAAAGTAGAACTCTTTTTTTTTTTTTTCCAGTCCCCCAGCTTACTCTTAGCTCCTTAATGTGGATCTGTTGTCTGTTTATAAATACCGAATATCCTAGAGTTTTTGCTAGGTGATAGACCCTGTTCTAAGTGCTTTGCATTCCTCCTTTTATCCATATCAGGATGCTGTGATGTACGTACTAACATTAAATCTATTTTCCTGATTGGGAAATATTCTCTGAGCTCAGATAGTCTGGGGTCACTCAGTTGGTAAGTGATGGAGTGAGGATGAGAACCTGTGTCTTTAAGACTATTCTGCCCACTGTTGTTTCCGGGCTGTGGCTTGGCCAGACCCACAGCTGTGACTTATGTGGGATCACGGTGCGTGGCTGTGTTTGCCGGCCTCGGTCTCCCTCTTGAGGCTGCCTTCCAAGGCATGCTTGTACATCCCGTATAGAAAGCGGTGCAGGGGCGTCACAGGGGAGAGCCAGCAATGGGGATGGTGTCCCCGATGGGATGGTGGGGAGGGGGTGAGCAGTGGAACGGGGCTGGTGAACATGGGTGAGCATGGCCCAGGGCTGCGTGCCTGCAATTCTTGTTGGGAATCTCTGCACCTTCATTTCGAGCAAATGCTTGTCGAGAACCTACTGTGTGCTGTGCTGGTGCCATAGTGGTTACGGCCATTTGTCACGTGCTTGCTGACCTCCAGGCACCGTGGTGAGTGCTTGATAAACGTTTTCACTGTCCCTCCTGGCCATGCTTATGTCTTTTACAGGAGGAAACTGAGGCACATAGAGATTAACTTGCTTGATCAGGGTCACACAGTTGGAACCAGGATTTCAACTCCCAGGACAGTGGTTTGTTTCATTGTATCATTTCATGTCAATGACTCATTCATTCATTCACAAATGCTTGGAGAGCCTGCTAGGTGCCCGCTACACTACTGGACACTGGGCTAAAGGGTGAAACCCTGAGGGGTTGGTGCCAGAGAGAATAGTGATAGTGTTACATAGAAAGTTCCAGACTCCACGTCGCTGCCCATGAGGAGGGGTGTCAGGGACGCCGAACCGAGCACCCCGAAGACAAGCAGGTTTGGTTGCAGAGTCTCCTCGGTAGTAATCAGTGAGGACTCTAAGACCTCCTGGCAGCCCAGGATGCCACAGAGTGGGGCCTGAGAAGATTTAGCCGGGAATAGATGCGGGCGGAAACAGTTACAGCCACGTCAGCTGAGGGCAGAGGAAATCAGCGATTAGACGTCGAAGGTGCAGTACTTCGTTTGCTCTACATAATTACATGTAAGTTCTATCCCAAAGCAGAAATAGTCATTTTCAATTAATTCTTTTGTTCTCCTCATTAAATCCTAGTTAAAATATTCCGTGAGGTACTGTTATAGAGGAGATCCGCACAACTGTATTTGTGTGTGTGTGTGTGTGTGTGTGTGTGTGTGTGTGTGTGTGTGTGTGAAAGAGAGAGATTGAGAGAGTGAGAGAGAGAGTAAATTCTACAAGGTGGACTATAAGTAAGCTCCTCAAAGGCAAGAACCATGTCACATACATGAATTTGTCCCCAATGCCTAGCACCGTGCCTGACATGGAGTAAATTTTCCCTTCTTGAGTTGAATGAATAATATGCAAAGTTTCATGGAAACAGAATGGAACCACTGATCGCTTCACCACCCCCTCCCTAAACTTTTCCCCTGGGTGTTTGGGAAAGGCTTCCCTGAGGAGGGATATTTGTGTCCGATCTTCAAGAGGGGACTGTGGTCATGGTTGAGGTTGTGGGGATACGGAAGAAGATAGCCTATCTCCCGTGAAATATACAACCCTGACAATGTATAAATCCTATAGGAGCAGTATGACAATGATTTAGGCCTGCAGGTTTTTTTTTCCCCTGAATGTCAACCCCAATCAATCCATCATAGTAGCCTGAATTTGTGTGGAGGGGAGGATTTGGAAGTGTTGTGCTAACGTTGCTTGATGGTCTTGCCTGCCGTGGTGTGGGAGGGGTGCTGGGGTATTTGTATCACACGTTGGCCATCTCCATTTTAAGTCTCTGGGCTTTTTTTTTTTTTTTTTAAGATTTTTATTTATTTATTTGACAGACAGGGATCACAAGTAGGCAGAGAGGCAGGCAGAGAGAGAGGGAGAAGCAGGCTCCCTGCCGAGCAGAGCGCCCGATGTGGGGCTCGATCCCAGGACCGTGGGACCATGACCTGAGCCGAAGGCAGAGGCTTTAACCCACTGAGCCACCCAGGTGCCCCAAGTCTCTGGGCTTTTAAAGAAAAGCCCTACTCCTTCCTTTTACCTCATTCCCATCAATTAGGGGAAGCAGATTTATGACTAAAAGAGGGCTGGCAATGTGTTTGGTGCCAACTCACAGAAGGGCACGGGACCATACAGGTGAGAAAAGTGGTTCTCTACTTTTTCATCAGAGTTTTCCATGACAAAAGGATTTCTTATGAGGCTGAAAGTGTAGAATCAATAGGCTTTGAAGAGATTCTAGTGGAGATATTCTCTTTAAAAATTAGAAAGGAATTATGCCTCTGGGAGGACAGAGAAATGGACATTTTAGCACTCTTCATTTTGTTATATTTAATCCTTTCTTCTTGTTCTTATTTTTTTTTAAAGATTTTATTTATTTATTTGGCAGAGAAACAGAGAGAGGAAACACAAGCAGGGCGAGTGGGAGAGGGAGAAGCAGGCTTCCTGCCGAGCAGGGAGCCCAATGTGGGCCTCAGACCCAGGACCCTGGGAACATGATCTGAGCCGAAGGTAGACGCTTAACAGCTGAGCCATCCAGGCGCCCTCCTTCTTCTTCTTTCTTTCTTTTTTTTTTTTTTTTAAGATTTTATTTATTTGTGAGAGAAAGAGAGTGAGTGCACAAGCAGGGGGAGGAGCAGGCAGAGGGAGAAGCTGGCTCCCCACCAAGCAAGAAGCCTGAAGTGGGACTCAGTCCCAGGACTCCAGGATCATGATCTGAGTTGAAGACAGATGCCTAACTGACTGTGTCACCCAGGTGTCCCTTTTCTTCCTTCCTTCCTTCCTTCCTTCCTTCCTTCCTTTCTTTCTTTCTCTTCCTTCCTTCCTCTTTTTCTTTTTCTTTCTCTCTTTTCTCCTTTCCTTTCCTCTTCCCCTCCCCCCTTCCCTCCCTCCCTCCCTTCCTTTGACTTATTTATTTGAGGGACACCTGGGTGGCTCAGTCATTAAGCAGCTGCCTTTGGCTCAGGTCGTGATCCCAGGGTCCTGGGATTGAGCTCCGCATCAGGCTCTCTGCTCAGTGGGAAGCCTGCTTCTCTTTCTCTCTCACTGCCCCTGCTTGTGTTCCCTCTCTTGCTGTGTCTCTCTGTCCAAAAATAATAATAATAATAAAAATTTAAAAAATAAAATTATTAGAGAGAGAGCATGAGTGGGAGGGACAGAAGGAGAGGAAGAGAGAATCTCAAGCAGACTCCATGCTGAGTGCAGAGCCTGACTTGGGGCTCGATCTCATAACCTTGAGATCACAACCTGAGCTAAAACCAAGAGTTGGATGCTTAACTGACAGCACCACCCAGGTGCCCCAACTAATCGTTTCTTCTAAAGTTTTTGAGGTATGAACTGAACTAAAGAGGTTAAATTTTTAGATTACTAAAGCTTTATACTTAACCATAAACATGGCGTCATGACCATTCAAATAACTTGAATGGATTGTAGAGTTTTCTTCCTTCATACATGGCGTGCTTGTACCAGTCGTGAAGATGGTGTTGGTGATACACTGTCATCCTCATAAGGTCAAGTATTGTATTTTGCCGTAATGCAGTCGTGTCCCCAAGGATCATTGGGCTGCTTGCCCCTCTGTAAGTGGCCCCAGGTTGCTCTGGCTTCCCAGATCCTAGATCTTCATTTTGTTCTCCTGTCTCCTTCTTTGACACCAGCGGACCTCCTCTTGGCTCCTGTCAGTTCGTCTACTTCCGGCAGGTACTTTGTTCTGTAATTTCTCAGGCCTCCAGAGTCCCATAATTAAGCTTGTTGGATTTTGTCTAAAAGAAGCAGCACCAGGTGCCGAGGGATGTTCCTGTGAATAGAGAAGTGTACTTTGTGTGTGTGGGCTTGCCCCAAAATGGGTTCTTGGGCTTGCCCCAAACCCTCTTTTCACTGATTTTTGGGCTCTCAGCTGGCTTTTTGCTTAGTCAAGGTGACTGTGTTAAGTGAGCTGATAACCGTGTTGTAGGAGAACCACTGATTTTACTAAAACTGAACCCCACGGGTCTAGGGGGTCAGGTCCCAGACTTGAAAGCTGATGGTCTGCACATGCTTGCCAGAACTTCCTTCACTTTTCCAGAAGTTGGGGAAGAAAGTGCTCTCTTTCAGCCTCGGTCCCATTAAAGAATTTAGTTTCTCGGATAAAGAGCTGTACCAAGGTCTGATACCATAACATCAATCCCCTACCCTGCAGGGTTAATACCAATTGAGGCGAAGTAGTGGCAGAATTTGCCAAAAAGGAAACATTTTGGGAAAAAGGCATTTTGATTAATTAAACATTTTTTTCCCCTTTGGAGACACAGAGGGTCAGGAAAGGTTTTCTGATAAGAAGTCATCACTTGGAACGGCTCATACTATCAGCAGCCGGCGAGTGCTTCGTCCTGGACACAGTGTACGGCCGCTGTAATATGCAATGTCACTTGCAGCTAATCCCTTCATTGATTTTTTTCCCCCTCTGAATTTGCTGACAACAGAAGATTAGGTCTAGAGAAATAGTTGCAGTTCAGGTTCTGTTTGACAATATTTAGAGTTTAAAGTGACCTTTAGCAGAGGAAGGGCTGCATGGAGTGGGATTTAAGTGGTTCAGGACCGGGCGTATTAAGGGCAAAGTAGAAGGGAATGCATTTTTAATGCCAGTGTCAGGGCAGGCCACCGTGGGCAAGTGTCCTCTGTCCTCAGGGCCACGTGGGAGCCCAGTGCCAGGCTGATCCTTGGCCTTGTTGCAAAGGAGATGAAGTTTGACTTTGTCCCGTTCAGTCTTGAATGTACTTGGCTCTCCCCTCCCTAACCCTCTCTCACAGCCCCTTTGTCTCTCTCTGCCTCGCTGCCCTTGTCCAAAGCTCCCACCCTACTTGTACACTGTGCTCCGTGCTCCCACACCACATCCATCAGTCCTCCCACCTCTGCCCGTATTTGAGAAGATCTGATTAGGATATAAATAGCCTGGAGTCCTTAACTTTCCATGAATTTAAGCCTTTGAAACAATAGACGTTTTCCCTTTGTGCTTATTAATACATCAAAACGGCAGAGAGAGAGAATTGGGAGAAATGGGTTAATAAAATAAGAAGCTAAATAAAATACAAATTTATGTTAAAGCATGGCATTCATTTGGGCCCCATCCCCTGCTCTGTGACTTGTATCTGATGGTCACTCTCTCTTCCTTCCCTGAGTCACCTTCATGGGGACAAAAGTCTTACCCCACAGGCAGACTTACCATTGATGTTTATGTTGATATCTGGACTGCTTGAGATGCTCATTCAGGGCTAGACCTGGAGCTGGGGAGTTCTTCTTGCCCAGGTCTGCTTATTTCCAGTTGCACACTAGTCACTGTTAGCTTGCATCTGAGGTCCTCAGGCCTTGAAGCTGGACCTAAGAGAACTATGATACAGAGAAAATTAGGGTTTAGGCGTTCCGGGGGCCTGGGAAGGTAAGAGTGTGTCCTGGGCAACGGGGGGGAGACTCACACTTCCTCTGCATTAGCCTCAGGACACAATGACCGAGAAGACCTTCATAACTAAGGACACCTTATTTGCAGCCAAGGAGAACTTTGGACTCTTCCTATTGGGCTTAAGTCCAATTCTAGGGCATGGTTTCTGTGGAATTACACAGGGAATGGAAAAGAAGTGGGCCGCCAGGCTGGTAAGACTTAGTGGGGGAATCCAGCAGATGGGATGGTGTGGATGTTGGCGTTGACTGGTCCGCATGTTGAAATGGTGTTCATGGGTATAAACCATGGCTCAAGTTACTCATCATAAAAACAGTGTTGACTCTAAGTCCTACAAAGTGTAAGCCTGGGGACCTCAGTGTAAGAGATGTGCCCTTGCTGGCCTCTTCCCAGACCTGAACTCTTGCAGCAGCGTGGGGTTCAGTGAACCAAGGATAGAAGAAACCAGCTCGTAACCTTTGGCACCTTCCTCGCTCATCCCTTCGTCAGCATGCTCACTCCCAAATTCCAGGGCCTTGGCTTTGCCCTTAATTGTCAAAAATGCACCGGGAATTCACTTGGTAAATGGTAGAAAGTGCTTTATGATCTCAAGACTTTTCATTCTTCCAGCAGGTCTGGGATTAGAATTATTCTTTGTGTTTCCTAGGAAAGAACAGTTGGTTGAGCAAATTTACACGTAAATAAGTATCATTTTCTGATTTCAAACAGTTGGGAAAGCACCTGTTTATGTCCTAACCATTGATAATCTATAACCTAACCTAACCAAATAGATCTCTGTATGTACTAATACGACATTTCCTTAGACTTGATTTCCAACTTTCTTCCTCCTCTGACTCCTCTTCCTGCTCCCTTCCCAAATTACACTGGAAACCGCTGAGACTGTATGAAGTTTGTCCCCCCAGCATCCAGAGCTGTGCCCAATACCTAATCATGTGAATGATGGTGAGCGTGAACATCTAGAAGATTCTGATGTTTGGTAAACAAGAGCGTTTCCTAACAGTGGCACATTCTGAGCTGAGGGTTGTGGGTTTGTCCAGACGCTGGCCTGTGGTTGAATTAGCCCCAGCCCATGGGCCTCCTCCCTGCACAGAGCAGCCAGGCCTGGTCCCTGCAAAGGAATTTCTCCCTTCAGACACAGTGGAACCAGTCCTCTGGGGTCAGCCTCTGGCAGGACAGCTCTCCCAGCTGGGCACCTCTCACTAATGCTTTCTGGAAAGTCTTTCTTTCATGTGGAGGGTTTTAACCAAAGGAGAGACATTCTTTATGAATTTCTTGGGGGGTGTTTCACAAGGTCTGCCACAGAACAGCACAGGCCGTTAGCCATCACTACAGAGAAGGACAGTGTGTCAGGACACCGGTCGTATCAGTGAGATCCCGGAGGCATCTCTTCTCCGTCGTCTCGAGTGGTATTTTGCCCAGCTGCTTGGGAAGCGTTGACTGGGTTGTACCTGGTGGGGTGAGTAGTACAGCCACACTTGTGCTCTCTCACTTCAGGGATCAAGCGTGAGTTAGGTTCTCATGTTCACCATCTTTCTTCCCCCATGCTTGTTCTTCTGGGACCCTCAAATACCTCCCGTGGTGTCTCTGTATGCGTCTAAGTGTTGTCGTCTTTGGCTACCTGGAGGGCTCTGACATTTCCTTCAGACCGTGTCAAGATCTGTCCTCTCCTCCAGTGACACCTGCCAGGTGGCCTGTGCGGGTCTCCTGCCTCTCTCCATGTCTGATGTGGCGGAGCTTCTGCTCTCTGGGTCTGTCCCACATGGAGGCTGGTCCAGCCTGCTGCTGTGCCCCTGACTTCCCAGGAGCCTGGCTCTTGCTTGTCATTTCATTAACAAGGAAAGACTCACTCCCTGTGTTTCGTGGATCACTGAGCCATGCTGCCTCGTGTCGGGGAGGGGCAGTGTCTTTCAGGGACTTTTGGCAACTGGCGCTTCCATTTATTTTGTCCTGCCTCCCTTCCCTGGGGCTCTCTGGTAAGAATCCCTGGGGCCGGGTGCCTAGGGACTTCAGCAACACATCCTCCTGCCTTTGGAGTCCCTCTCCCCTCCTTCTAATTCTGTGTCCTTGCACTGAGGTATGCACAGCGACTTTCCCTTAGGATGGATGTTTGCCCAGCAGTCTCGATGGCCTTTGGTGCAGTGAAACTTCTGGAAGACCCAGAGAGGGAAAGAGACAGGCAATCCTGGGACTCGACTGCAGATACTTCGAATCCACTCAGCAACTCTTGCTCTGGGCTGTAGCTGCCCTACTGACCTTCCGGACGTGACCGACATGTCTGAAGGCCCCGGCAGGCCTGGCTTGGGCTTGTGATGGTCCTTCCAGTGCTTTATGGAGAGTGGTACTTAGCCTCTCACTGAGAGCCTTGCACAGAACAGAGCTCTACAGATGGTCTTAATTATAATATCCATGTGGACTTTGGTTCTTGATCAGTCTCTCCTGAGAATTCATTCCTTTTGGAACTTCAGTTTCTTGGAACTTTTCAATCTTTAATAACTGGATCTTCTTTCCTGCCCATTGTGACTTGATACTATAAAAAAACAAAACAGGGTTTTTGGGTTGTGGGGTATGTGTATGTGGTGGTGGGGAGAAAGCCATTCTCAAGGAGTTAGGCTGACAGGTTGAGTTCATGGTCAAAGAGTCAAGGTCATGGGTAGGAAACCAGAGTTCATCCTCAGGGGCCAGGGAGGTGGTGCCCATAGTTGTGGTCTGGAGAGGGAGCTGTGTTTTGGCAACTGGATGCCTTTTCAAGGTACCCGGAGTTTTGTAGGCTAGCTGGCTCGATCGACTTCCAGGAACGCACAAAGATGAGTAGAGGCGTTGATTGGGAGGATACACCTCAGCTGGGAAGGGGAAGAGCTGGGGCAGTCCCCGTCCTGCCCCCTCCCTCCAGGCCTCTGCTGCTTCCTCACCTCTCTCTCCTCAGCTTCCCCCCTGCCTGGCTCCCTCATATTTTTATGTTATTTATCCTGGTTTCCTTGGTACCAGCTAGATCTCATGGCAGTTTTTCAACTTCACCTTCATTCTTTCAATGTTTCTGGTGTCCTTTTCACTTGAGGGAGGATTCCGTTGGTGCGGTTTAGTGTCCTGAGCTGGGCCCTGGTCCCGGGTGGCTGTGGCCCAGGAGGGGCTGCTCCCCAGTTTCACTCTGGGGTAGAGGGTCACGTGGTGGATCAGCGCATGGTTGTTTGAGCAGCAGGTATGAGTAGTGAAGCTGTTCGTGTGGGGCAGGCCCCTGAGGCAGGATTTCTCTGGGTTCCAGGAGATAGAACTTGGGCAGCCCTTCAAAGGTGGTTGTCCTGATTCCATGAGGCAGAGAGTAACACCCTCCGGGGGCTGTTAACACAGGCTGGGCTTGCTTCGGGGATCCTGCCTCTGCAGCCTGGTGGGGGAGTCAATGAGTGCCAGGGCCGCAGAAGCATCACAAGTCCCCTTGGATAGCACAGAGCCTGTATCTTCTAGAAGCCCTTCTTTGATGTTTATAAAATGACTCTCAGTACATTAATTCGCATAGTTTCTGTGTTGTGTGGGATGGCTGAATCCGTTTTCACCTTAGGTCTTCACAGCAGCCTGTGAGGTCGATGTTCTTGTTGTCCTTTTACACACATGGAAACTGAGTCAGGGAGAAGTTGAGAGACTTCCGACCAGGCCTTCTTCTTCTTCTTCTTTTTTTTTTTTTTAAAGATTTTATTTATCTGACACAGAGAGAAATCACAAGTAGGCAGAGAGGCAGGCAGAGAGAGGGGCTTGCTGAGCAGAGAGCCCGATATGGGGCTTGATCCCAGGACCCTGAGATCATGACCTGAGCCGAAGGCAGAGGCATAACCCACTGAGCCACCCAGATGCCCCGAGACCAGGCCTGCTGGCTCCCGGCCCCACGCCTCTTTACCCACGTGTCCTACGTCTGTATGCAGAGCACTGCACATCCCTAGGTGTTATGAGGAGATAAAAAAGAAATAAGCTTACATTCTAGTTAGGATAAGCTGCAAACAACATCCATTAAGGCAGTCATTTGAGAGCTGATTGCTGTGTGCCGGTGATTGTGACCTTGAAGTACTCACATAAGAGGACACACAAAAATTACAGGCTGCCTCGAAAGTTGGGGATGCGCTGTGGATTGAAGATAAGCCCAGACAGAATCAAGGTCACGTACTTGTTCAAACCAAGCAGCCCTGCAAACAGCTGGAGTCGTTTGTTGGTAACACAGAGCTGGGTGGGGTCTCAGAATCCTGGCGAGGAGCTCCGGGGCTGGGTGGCCTGATGTCGGATGAACTAACGAGGAACCTGAAGCCCAAACCAGGCGGTTGATGTGTCCTTTGGAAGAAGAGTGGAGCCAGCGTAACCCTGAAGGTCCACACCGCGGTGGTGTTTCATCTTGTGGCAGCTGTGGCGCCCAGGCTGGCAGAGGACCTCACGACAGGTTGTCTGGGCTGTTGTAACATAACCCGGAACCAACATCAAATGACCAGAGAGAATCCCTCACAGCAGTGTTCTAGAACGTAGCTGAGGGCCAGACTTGAGCTGTTTGCCAGAGGGAAGCTCTGATGGGTTGGCCATGAGAGGCGAGTGAGGGGAGGTGGAGCCCTCTCAACCCCTGGGAGGGGCATCCAGGGCAACAGCCACTAACACGGCAAGCAGATAAGCAGAACGACAGGAACTAAGGGGCAGGCTGTGTACTGCTGGGTCAGTGCGTGGGAGCCCGTGTCGGAGCCTCCCCAGCCGCAGCCAGGGCTGGGAATCTAGCCATCCGTCCCATCCGAGGGAAGTGGAGCCCCCCTGCTTGGAGGAACTGGTATACAAGGTCAAGGCCGAGTTAGCAGCAGGAATGTGGCACTGACCTCGGCCCCACCGGAGCCTGGGTTTAGAGAGGGGCACCCAAGTTGTGGGGAGAGGGGTTCTGAGTGCAGAGAACTCCAAGGTGTCCACCGAGGTCCACCCGGGATGCTGAGCCCTGTGGCACCGGGAGGGCAGGGTGCAGCATCTGGAGTTCCCAGAGCCGAAGTGACGGACTCTAGACAGTTCTGGGCAGAGCCGAGGCAGAGTTGAAGTTTCTGTTACATTCTTTTACCTTGTTTCGTTTGGAGCCTTATAACAGACGGTTTCGTGAAGCGATACATCACAGGATCCATCATCTTAAAAGTATCAAAGGATTTATGAGGAACATTTTTTGTTTTCCTTTTAATTTTCCTGACCTTCCAATTCTCCTGCCCCAGACGACCAATGTTATTAGTTTTCTTCCAGAGGTGTCTTATGTGTGTACAAGCATCTGCCTGTGTGTCTGTTTATCATCTTTCCCTGCTTCTTACAGAAATGTGGCGCACTTTAGACACTGTTCTGCACCTTGCTTATTTCCATTTAATTTATCCCAAAAGGCTTTCCATATCTGTTTATAACGAGCTGAGTTTTAAAAATGCTGTTGCCTTCCATTCTGTGGATATACCATAATTTATTTAGCCATTCTTCTATTGATGGAAATTTAGGTTGCTCTTGTAAGCAAAGTGACAATGAATAACCTTGTCAGTATGTCATTTCACACCTGTGAGACTGCATCTCCCAGATAAATTACTAAAAGTGGAATTTCTGGGTCAAATTGAGCTTCTGTAATTTTTAAAGATATTGATGAATTGCCCTCTGGAGAGGTAGTACAAATTTACAAAATTTATACTCTAACAGCAATTCATGAGTGTGTTGGTTTCCCCACACCTGACCTCACAGTGTGTGATCAAACTGGCGGACCTTTGCCAGAATGGTTGTTGAAAATGCCAGCTCGGTGCTGGTTTAATTTATCGTTCTCTCTTTCGGAGTGCTCTTGAGCATCTTTTCATATGTGCAAGGTCCCTTTGTAGGCCCATGAGCTGTCTGTTCTCCTTTTGGTCATTTAAAAATCGGATTGGTGATCTTTTGCTTAGTGATTTGTAGGTGCTTTTTATGTATGAGGGAAATCAGTCCTTTGTGATTTCCGTTGCAAATCTCTCTCTTTTGATTTTGCTTAAAGTGGGTTTTGCTAGGCAGAAATCTTGTGTTTTTGCATAGTCAGACTTCTCAGTATGTTCTCTTGGGGATTTCATGTCATAGTCATGAAGACTTTCTCCCCCTATGGCTATAAAGGCGTCTTCTCATGGTTTCTTCTGATACTTTTATGAATTCTTTTCCAAATAAATGTTTGATCTACTTGGACTTAATTCTGGTTTAAGGTGTAAAAAGTATGCCTTCATTTTAATTGTCACCCAGTTTTTTGAATACCAGTTATAAATAAGCCATCTTTTTCCTACTGACTTGAGCTGCCACCGTTACTGTGCCTTGGACTGAACTGAGTCACTCCAGGGTTCTGGTGCTAAAGCCCTAACCGCCAATGTGACTTTATTTGGAGACAGGGCCTTCAGGAGGTCATTGATATTAAATGAGGCACCGTAAGGCTAATTGGATAGAACTGGTGTTCCTCTAAGACCTGCCCTGCCACTCTATTCCTCCCCACTCTCCCCTTCTGTGCCATGTGAGGACAGAGCAAGGCAGCCAGGAGGACCAATCTCCTCAGAAAACAGCCCTGGCACCTTGATCTTGGACTTAGTTTCCAGAATGTGAGACAATAAATATTACATAAGCCACCCTGTCCATGACTTCTACAGACCATACAGTAAATGCTTGTTGTGTTTCAGGCTGCCCCTGGATTTCTGAATTCCGGTCCAGTCCTTCCATCCCATCACATTGCCCTCCAGCTAGACAATGCGGGCGGGGGGTGTGTGGGGGGGGAAGAGTCGGGGCCTCTAGAGCCTGGAGAGACACAGGGACATGTGGGAAATTTCATGGAGACAGAAGGTAGCAGGGAGGGTCTGAGATCAGCTGAGACATTAGAGGCGATAGAGAAACCTGTTGGGGTGTTGGGGGGCAGGGTGGGAGTGGAGCCCTAGGTGACTGCCTGGGCTGGGCGAGAGGGGAGTGGCTGGCCCGCAGAAGGAAGCAGCATGAACACCATCCTGGCCGTCCTGGGAGCTAACAGGGCTCCCAGGGTGGGACGGCTGGAGACCAGATAGGATGGGACGCTCTGTATGATATTCTCCATTTCCACGGGTCTATTTCACTCTCTTGGTGGTTCAGTTTCCACAGGCTTTGACGACTTCTTACCTGCCCTCAAACCCTAGGCTGCTTAAAGTCTCATTCTATTCTAGAAGCTTCACTGTGGTGTGCACTTGGAGCACCACCTCTCTGGGATAGTGTCGTCTTATTTATTTTTATTTAGAAAATCTTCATGTAGTCCCTCTTCTAGAAGCTAGGCAAATGTGAGGGAATAGAAATGTCTCCAGTGATAGCTGCCTGTGTCCTCTTTTAACCACTCCATCGGGATGGTGTGCTCTCCTCTGCTCACTCAGTTTGATGCCTGGGGTCCCAGAGGGCACCGGCTCGCCGCCTCTCTGCTCCTGCGCTCTGGGAGTTGGACCAGCTGTTAGGCTCAGATGCAGCAGCGGTGCCAGCCCTGCACGTGGGAGGGATGATGCTGCACCTGTTACTGCAGGAGCAGGTCACATCCAAGGGGCTACGAAGCCGGTGTCCATCAGAAGGGCTTCGCGTGTGTCCTCCTAGTCCATGCCTCTAGCTGTAGCCGGGCCCCTCTCTGGTGCTTGGGCAGTCCCCTGCCTGAGTTCTCCCCCTCAGTACTCTGGCACCAACTCCAGTGGTCCCCTATGGGACCCCCGCAAACCTGACTCTGGAGTAGTCTTCTCCTGTGGACTCAGCTGTGGACTCGTCAAACACTGGCTGGCCCCAGGCGACCCCTTCTTCCATGTCCTGCACCCTCCCGGGCTGGAGAGCGTGGTCCTCCCACTTTCCCCAGGCTCCCCGATGTCCTCAGCCATCCATGACCTTCCCTCTCTCCCCCAGCACCGGGTAGTGCTCGCTGTGTCCTGTGCTCCTTTCTGCTTTCCTCTGTCTCTATGTCTTTGTCCTACTTGGCATCCAGCCCTGCAGGGCTGGCACCTGTGTGCACTAGGGGAGGGGAGTGGGGCTCATGGGTGGTTAGTGAGATGCCGTAGGAGAAGGTCAGCTGGTGGTGAGCCAGGGCCCCCTGGGAGGGTCTCCCGCTGTTAAAACTTAGATCATGTGCCTTTGATTTTGTTAAGAGAACAGGTGGCTTTCTTTCTGAAGTGAGATTGTGTTTTTTTTTTTCATTGGGTCCCAAAAGAGTACATTTTTTTAAGGGAGGAAACACTTAAAATATAAAAAGGTGCAAAGACACTGTAGGTGTGACTCTAGAGTTCTGTTATTTCATTCAACATTATATTTTGAGGACTCTTTCTGTCTTAATATGTACAGTTCTAGTTTTTTCATTTAAACTATCGTAGAATAGCCTATCCTGTGACCATAACCATGTTTTCCTTTTCTAACTGATGGACCTTTAGGTTGATCAGTGCTGTACGGAACATCCTTGCCCACATAGTAGGAGTTTGCCCACGAGGGTGTAATTTTGGGCAGTAGGGCATATGCCTCTCCAGTTCACTTGGTTTTTGTCAAGTGTTTATAACAACTTACACTCCCAGCAACTGTCTGAAAGCTGCTTTCCCCTCAGTCTTTACCAAACCCTGATATTCCCTGACTCTGTCGGGTTTTTGCTATTTTGGTTGGGAGGTAGAATGTGAGGCAGCATTTCCAGAAAGTATAAAAGAGAAATTCCATCTTGGTTCCCACCTATGTCCTCACCGTGCAGACGTTTGTCCCCTATGGCCACTTTGCTGATTATAGGTGGTCCAGCTTCTTAGTCCTGTTCATTCAGAGTGATGCTTCTGTGATTGTTGTCAGTGAGGGTCGAGTGAGTAGACGGGTTCAGGAAGGTCACTGCTGTAACAGGTGTTAGAGGTGGCTGGCAGTGGCGGGGGGGGGGCAGTGGTCTCAGTCCTTGAGGTGGGAGCGTGGTGGTGGGATATAGCCAGGGTTGGAGCCTATGGGAAAGGGCCCTGAGCTGGGGTAGGGGGCAAGCCAGAGCCCAGTTGAGAAAGTGCACAAGGCAGGGAAAGGACAGGATGCCTGCAACCTGTCTCCTAGGGCATGCATTTCTTTTGCAAAAACATGCCAGATATGTGCTCACTTCATGTCTTAAAAAAACTTTCGTGGTGTATGATGTATAGAAGAAATAATCTTTTAAAAAAATTTTTATTTTTTATCAACATAGAATGTATTATTAGCCCCAGGGG